CTCTGATGTTGCCTGCTGGCATGGGGATTCAGAAGTTTAGTGCTTCTGAATGTGGAGGTTCCCCTCAGTCACCATGGCTAATAGCCACTGATAGACCTCTCCTCCATGAATCTGTCTATAATAACATAAAAAGAGCCTTGCTGGATCAGACCAGTGGTCCACCCCGTCCAGCATCCTGTCTCACACAGCAGCCAACCAGTTCCTCTGGTGGGGCCAATAACAGGGCATAAAGGGCAAGGCCTTCCCCTGATATTGCCCTCTGGCTCTGGGATTCAGAGGCTTAATGAAAGCTGGATGTGGAGGTTTCCCTCAGTTGCCATGGCTAGTAGCTACTGATAGACCTATCCCCCATGAATCTGTCTATAAGAACATAAAAAGAACTGTGTTGGATCAGACCAGTGGTCAATCTAATAAAAAATCCTGTCCTACTCAGTGGCCAACCAGTTCCTCTGGAGGGCCAACAACAGGGCAGAGAGGCCGAGGCCTTCCCCTGATAGGAACATCAGAAGAGCCCTGCTCGATCAGACCAGTGAGGGTCCATCTAGTCCAGCATCCTGTCTCACACAGGGGCCAACCAGCTCCTCTGGATGTCCAACAACAGGGCAGAGAGGCTGGATGTCCAACAACACCTTTCCTGATGTTGCCTCCTGGCTCTGGGATTCAAAAGCTGACTGCCTCTGAACATGGAGGTTCCCCTCAGTCATAGCTAGTAGCCACTGAAGGAATGAGCACCGACTCCCGAAAGCTCCTCCCCTGCTACAAATTTTGTTAGTCTTCAAGGTGCTCCTGGACTCTGGCTCTTTTCTACTGCTACAGACGGACTAACACGGCCACCCATCTTGATCTGGTAGCTGCTGACAGACCTATCCTCCATGAATCTCTTGAATCCCTTCTTAAAGATAAGAAGCCTTGAAGCTGGCAGGAGATGGATTTGATTCGGGAACCTGTGTGGGAGGGAGTGCTTTTATGGATTGTGTGATGTTATGATGTTGTACACCGCCCCCCCCGACCCTCGCTTCGATTTAAAACCTGGTCCCCAAATCAGATTCAGATTGAGGTGTATAAATCTTTCTTCCTCCCAGGGTATCGGACAAACCCCAAGGGTCGCTTTCAAATGGGTTTGGCTCTGTTTGTTTCTTTATATTTAAAAGTAGAAATTGTTAAGTTACGACCAGGTAGCCCCACTGAGCAAGCTGTGAAGCTCGTCGATAACCTTACTTTGATCATTGCGAATATAAACGT